TTATTTATTATTATTCTTCCCCTGTATTGGGGGGGGTATGATGGCTGCAGTTTTGGATGTGAACCACTCATAAACTTAAGAATTCTCGTGGAATGTTTTGCATACTTGTAATCAAACTTCAACAGAAAATGCAAAAAGTTACTTAGTTTTCATTATACAACTATGATCTGACTGCAAGGCATCCGTTATGGTTGTAGAACTCCAAGGATTTTCAGTAACCTGATACATTGTGAAACAAGCAGGTACTGCTGGTGGGAGAAGGTTTCCACTTCACTGCTTTTTCCATATCCTACAGTGTTTAGCTACTGTGTTTAACGTGGATTCCCAGCAACAATGCAACAAATTGCAGTTCTAATAAGCATGTCTTTAAAGGGAGGTAATTGTATGGGTTTTTTTCTCTTCTAAAAGAAATTTGTTAATCATCTTTCTTCCTAATTAAATTTGTTGCATCCCACTTCCTAGAAATCTTAACACCAGTGAGCACCATGCAGACAGTGAAAACTTCTCCAGGCAGTAGCGTGGCCTTCTGTTTCTCAATATTGTGCACTTTTACGTAGGATTAATGAGTTCAGATTTTCTAAATGTGTATTCTAATGATATGGGAAGGCAGAAAGAAGACACAAAAAAATACTTTCTCTGTAATTATCTGAAGCAGTTAACCCAGACCAAGAGAAAAAAGAAAAAAATGTGTGTTGCAGCAAAGAAATTAAATATTATTTCTTAGGATGGCTTGAAGAGAAGAATTCCATGACACACCAGGAACGGCTTTCTGCTGAAAAACATCAGCTGGACAAAGTAATTAACCTCTGCACATCACCAGAGAATCAAAAGCAGCGCTTTGCCCCGCATGTGAGTGCGGCATCATCTGCCAAAATTCACAGTACAAATACAGCTGTGGAACAGCTTACTACAGGAAGCATAAAAAGCAGTAAGGTAGAAGAGTCAATTTATTTCTTTAACCAAGAAGAGAAAACCTACAAATCCTCTGAATCAGTCAGCTGTAAAGATGTGTCTTCTAGACAAGACAACTCATGCAGTAGTCAAAAACCTGCATCATTTGAATTTGCTACAAAATGGGACAATGATGATTCTGATCTGAACAACTTTATCATGCTGAGATCGAACCATACACTCATTCAAAGAAAGGAAAAAAATGATGTTGCTAGACCTGAAAAAGGTATGTGAAACAGTTTATTCTGCCATCTTCCAGGTTTAATTCTGATCTCTTATACCAGTTACAATGGATGCTAGTTCCTGCTGGTACATTTGTGGGGGAAAAAATCCTTTGAAGTCAATGGTAACGTTTTTATGGTCTTTAAAATGTAGCTGATTTTTCAGTGAACAATTTTACTTTTTTTTTTTTTTTTAACTGTAGACATTTTGTTTTTTTGTTTTAATTGGGGAAGTTTTTTTGGTTTGTTTTTCCTTTTTTTTTTTTTTTTTTTTTGTGGTGATGGAAGTGGTTTGTAATAAAAGAAACTTGAGAGTTTATTCCTATTCCAACAAAGTAATTCTAAATGGTACTTACTCCAGAAGATTTCTTCTGTCCATACGTTCTGAGTCAGTCTTGGCCTTTTTGGAGTAGTAGTAGTTATCAGTAGTTTGATAGTTATCTAATTAGTTGTGGTGATCAAAGAGTAATTATCAATACTCTTACCTTTGTAGAACCAACATAGCCTAGACAATGAACAAGAATTGAAGTTCTCTGGAAAGAACCATTTGAGCCAGTTAGCTTGGTGCAAACCTCACCAAACAATGAGGCAGAACAGGTCTTAGGAAAAACCAGGAAGTTATTGGTAGACCCGTTTTTGTTGATGGCAATGCTTATGGAAAAATCTCAGGCTATGCATTGAGCATCACAGAAACAAAGTAGCAGAGAGGGGAAAAAATGTAGAAGATCCTATTTTTTCTAAAAAAGAAATATTTGTGCACAAAACATCAAGAGACAGTGTCATATTTCTGATTTGGTTTTTGGATAAAAGTTTAATTTTAAAAAAGTATTTTATTTTTTGGACTTGCTTAGCAGAATATGACAACTTTTATCTGTGTTTTAGCTATATGTGCCAGCATTAAAAAAAAAAAAAAAAAATTGTCACGTAAAATCTTTTAGCAATATTTCCTATAGAATAGAATAGAAATGAGATATTTTTTCAATGACAGTCTTATGTAACCTTGTAGAGGAAATTACTCCTCGGTAAAATTAATCTGTTACCGGTAGTGATAGACAAGCATAAAGCACTTCCATGGCCTCTGGGAGCAAGAATACCAATTTTAAAAGTAGGAGAGTAGGTACCTGAACTAAAGTTCCATGTGCCATCTAGTGAACTCTGACTAGAACTACAGCTCCTAACAAGAAATCCCAATGTATAGGCTTCTGGAGGTTTTACTACATTAAAGGCAGTTAGAATATGTTTACAAGTAGACTCCGGTGTGGCAGATCACGTATGTCTGATATGTAGAGAACCCACTAACACACATAGGTCATACAACATTGGTGTAGAAATGATGTAAATTTATTTTTATTAAGGGTCATTCTAAATTTAACTGAAAGTAAGAAATGCCAACACTGCTGTAGGGCCCTTTTTCTGTCATCTTTGTTATTTCACTTATTTTTTAAAGAAGCCATTGTGTATAGTATTTAGTTCAGAAAATAGAAAGGAGGGAAGTAGTGTAAACAGTTCATTGATCCAATTTTTAATGCCAGCTAGCTTTTCAAAATCAGGAAGATATTTTTAACTTACCTGGAAAAAAAAATAAAATCGCTTTTTCTTTTCTTTCTGTCTCTGTATGATCAGTTCATTTTCTGATGAAACTGGAATTCCTAACTAGAAAAAATTAGCAGTATTTAGGAGACACCTATTCAGCCAAGAACCCCTCTCAGTAATAAAGATGTAGAGCTGCCAAGGGAAGCTTTGTGGGCAGAAGCTGTAGCTCCTGCGTGGGTATTTATACAGAAGAAAGGAAGCCATCTTAGAAATGCTAACAAGTTGCAAAGATAGCTATAAGACAAGAGAAAAATGTATTTACCATAAGCAATTTTTCTTTTTTTTTTCTGCCATTTGCAGCTTCTGTGTTCTTTCTGTATCATTTACGGTACTTAACCTTTTTTGCTCACACTCACTGAGATATTTTTTACAGCCTGAGCTCCTTACAGTCAGCAGCACCTTTCCTCTCATTTGTGTTTTTTCTCCATATAAGGTAAAATTGTCTTTCTTATGGAGCTATGTAACAGTAACAGAGCTGTAGTACCAGTTCCTTATTTTTCCTACCTCCATTAGGAACTAGGGAAGAGGAACCTGATAATGCCTGACTTCTTGGGCTGACAGGGCCTCGTCTCTCTCTGTCTCTCAATGCTTTTTCTATACTGTATGAGCACATGAAAACCATAAAAAAATTCATGGAAAGAAGAGTCATAGGAACTACTTAATTTGAAAATATTTTTAATGTAATCATTTACAGAACAATTTTCTAATCCATTGAGCTGTTTTTGTGATATTTGTATCTAAATATTCACTTGTGTTTTAACAATTTAGTGCTACAACCTGAAGAACAACATATGGATGTTCACAAAGAGGACAGTTCTGGTTTTGAGACTGTAAAAATAGAGGAAAAAGAACAAGAGAATGAGGACAGTGTCATAGTCAATATACAAGCATCAGGTATTCTGGTTTTGGTTATGCTTTATTTTATGTAACTTTACAATATAATCTTATATTAAATATAAACTACTCAGCCAAATATGGACCTTATTAGGCTTAGTCTCTGCTCGTTGTGACTGAAAACATCCCAAAGAGACAGATACTTATTTTGACACTGGTGTTCAAGCAGCCTATGGAATTCTGTCTTAAGACTAAAGCAAACTGCATGCCAGCCAAAAATTACAGACTTTTGAGTTATGTCTGATCTAAATCAATGGACATAATATCTCCCCGTGCCCCATCAGTACCCTGAATTTATTATTCTGCAATTTTTTTCTCTGACAGAGTAAGTGGGAGAATTGGAGATGAAAGAGTTTGATAATCATTTTGGTAGGAAATGTCTTAAAGCACAATAGTAATCCACTGTGGACTGACCTCGTATGTGATAGAGTCTTACCCTGGGAACTGCTGTTGTACTTTTCAAGACGCTGTATCAAAGAACATGCACTGACAATTTTGTCATGCAGCAGAAATGGTGAAGAACCTAGAAGATATTTTTCTGAGATCTTTTACAGCCTCCAATTAAGGACACTCAGTGCTAGACATTTGTAGGCCTAGCACAGATTAGTTTGGGTTTTTGTGGAAATGCATTCAGTCCAACCAACTCTTTCACAGAACCAGTGAAAGGAGAGCGGTATTTTCTTCAGTACCTGTCTGAGAGGGAATCATGTAATAGCTATAAGCTTTTTTTTTTTTAAACAAGGTTGACATTTTGCATAAAAAAAAAATTAGTAGTTGTCGAGACTGATTGTTCTGTTACAGTTTTTGACATAAAGTGTGTAATTTGTCTTTTTTTTAAGAATGCTTAAAATGATGAAGTTACTGATTGCTCTTATGAATTGGTGCATTAACTAAGTGAAGCTAAGTCAGCTGCTGGTCAAATAATTCGTATAGATCAGGTGAAAATATTTTTGAAAAGTAATAGTAAATCTTTGAAAATTAAGGTCACATACTTCTGATCTTGTTGATGTGATAGATTCAACTATAGTTTTAAAAAATTAGTATGGAAGAGTTTCACCTTCTTCCCTGAGGAAAAGAGTATCCCTTCCAACTCATTCAGCAGCTGACAGCTCTGTCATGAATGATAATAGCAAGAAACTCAGTCGCAATTTGGAAAGAATTGTAAAACAGCCACCCACAAACTATTGAGAACCTGTATGAAAGCACAAAGAGACTAAGAGATTGGCTTGTTTAACCTAGCCAGACAAAGACATCGGAAGTTAAATACCAGGGGAGGAGAGGGCTATTGCAGCTGAATTTATAATAACAAGTGGATAGAAAGGGACTAAGTCTAAGTTTAGATTACAAATCAGAAGAAGGCTGTGTCACAGGCAATGGAGTTATGCACTTCACTCACAAGAGGGAAGTAACAATATATTTACTGACACAAGACAGCATTTCAGCAAAGTTTGAAACAGTACCTGCAACTTTAAGGAAAAAGAATTTGATAGCAATTTACACCTGATTGCTTACTACACAGAAGACAAGCTAAATGGGAGATTAAGACTGAGTGCACCCGTAGCAAAGATTCATAGCTTAAGCATGTTATATCTATATATCACTTACCAACGATCAGATGTGGAACGGGATCTCTTAACCCCAGGGAGTATCCTGGACAGGCATCCTTGCTCCAAGGGAAATCCTGGAGTGCAGCCAGCTGCGCTGCAGGAGAGATACAAGGGCTCTTGGGCTGCCTGCTATTTATGGGGGTAAGATGATTGACCTATAGTCATATTTCCTATTGCTCTTACACCTGAACGTATTGTTCAGGCTAGCTCATGGCTATGGTGTTGTTAAGTATTTCCTCTGAATCCGGCTTAGCAGGGTAGGATCCTTACACCCAGATGCAATCATCTCACCCAGATGCATCGTTATCGCCAAAGCAGATAACCAGAGATAAGGGTCGTGTTGATGAGGGGTAAAATGCATCGTCACAGGCTGTAAAAGGGTGGAGCAGTACTACAGTCTTCGCGGGAGTCACAGGAGTAGACAATCCTGACTCGTCATCATAGAGCTTGATCACTTCTACCACCCAGGAGGCTCCCTGGCAAGCAGCTGTGTTTGTATTACTATTACAGCCTTCATTGAAAGATTCAACACTGTTTGTGTTTTGCTAGGTCTTTTGAGTATTTTTTTTCAGTAATAGATTATGAAACCAAAGTTAATTATTGTGATTTTTTTATTGTCCTATCCAGAAAGTCAGTGCCAGGCATACTGCCTCTTGGAAGAAGCAGCTACGCCTGTGCTAAAAGATTTGACACATCTGGGTGTACTTGCTTCTGTAAATTGGAGCTTTGACAGAGTGAAATTTGGTGATACAAGATTTTTCTTAAAACAGCAAGAGAAAGTGACACGTGATTGTTTTAAAGAAGGTATGTCTTTAAAAAAAAGCAGGTTTTTTTTCCTTTTTTAATACTAATACAGGTTTGATTAGTGACACAAGGTTCAAGATGTACGATAAATTAAGGATAATACTTTCAGCAGTTTATTTTGTAGAGTTACAGTAGTTGATTTCATCTTGTATTTCCAAAATAATGTCTCCCAGTTCTTCAATATTACATTTATTAACCTGAATATTATAATACAAAAACTATATTAATTTAATTTAATTTAGAAATATTTTAGATATGTTTCAGAGATTTTGCTTCTATAGCAAACACTGTTTCATTATTTTTCATGCTAGATTTTAAAATTAAAAGCTATGCATTTTTGTTAATAGCTATTGTTTGTCACACTTGCATGATGCAAAATGCTGAGCCTATGTTAGAAATGAGGAGGAAAGAAATCCAAATTCATTTGATTTCTTTCTGACTTCATTTCTCTCCTATGTGGAATGTGAGGAGCCTGCAAAGCTAGAAAAATGAAAACAAAAACCAGAAAAATCAATGACCCATTTTGAAGATTTTTGGCTATAGATTAAGAGAGGTTAAGGAAAACCTCACAGCAAAATACAGACTATGTATTTTGTCTGCATGTCTGTACGCCCGAGGAAGATTTAGAAAGCTGTTTGGTATTTTGTATTATCTTTTGAGTTGTACTGCTCATAGTTGGGAACTAGTTGTAAGGATAACATAGTAAGCTGTCTACTACCCACCAAGTTTTTACATTATGTCACGTGTTTGTGATAAACTTTAGCTATCTTGACTTCATTGCTTTCTGTGCTGAATGTATTCTTCTCAAACTAAAACTATTAATAATGAAATTACAAATGAGAGAGAAGGCAAACAAAGAAAAAGATTTAGCGGTCTCTGCAGAATGACAGCCTGTGATCTACAGAACTGTCAGCAGCAGGGTTCTCTTAATCTGAAGGAGTTTACAAAAAAACAAACACCATCTTCACAAATAAAAGAGAGAGACTCTGTATCTGTGAATGAAAGAAAGTAAAACATTGCTGAGAAAACTATACAGAGAACTACTTCTTCTCAAGATCAAGCATAAAATACATATGAGTCTTCGTCTTAGTTCAAGATTAATTTAAGAAAGCTTATACCCTTTCCAGTACAGTTTACAGGCTGTAGAAATGTAGCCTAAAGTAGGAGCTGATCCAGGTGGTGTCCTTATTCAAACTTTGGGACCCTTTTTACTTCTAGATTAGCTGTGGAGTATATTACCAGTTGCTGAAATTACAGCAGTGAAGTCAATGAAAATGTGTAGTGGCTGAAAAACTGCAGAGGCAAATAGTCATCTTAGACCTTCCTTTTAAGGAGAAGTGTCTTCTGAGGAATGGCTTATGTTCACCTATCCCTTGTTATATAAAAATAACTGTACTTGAACACAAAACTGACCTATGAAATAGATGGGACTTTTGACTACAGCTCAAGGAAAGCAGTAAAAACTTCTTGATTCTTTTCTTGATTGAAAATACTGAAAAAAGGTTGGTTTAGCTACTGTTGTCTGCACTGAAGAGACAGAAAAATGCAAAGGAGGTCTTGCATTTTGTCCCCAACTAAAGATGCAGTAGTAGTAGTTAAGAATTTTCTTACTGGAAGGTTCATAAAAACATAGAAATGAGGAAGATTCTAACATGTTGTCTAGGGAAGTTGTGGATGCCTCAACACTGGATATGTTCAAGACCAGGTTGGATGGGGCTTTGAGCAACCTGGCCTAGTGGTTCCTTCTTCATAGGAGGTGTTCCTGCTTATGATAGAGTGTTTGAACTAGATGATCTTTCAAGTCTTTTCCAACCCAAACCATGCTATGATTCTATATCCAATCCATTCCTAATGAATATTTCTCTAACTGATTGTAAAATGTCCTTGATAACTTACTTCAGTCTTTCATTGTCTTCCTGGTTTTAAATAGTTTCATAATATCCAATCTCATGCCACTTTACTCCAGAGTATGCTGGTGCATTTTCTCATTGTGAATGTAGAAAACAATCACTTACTGTGATGGTATTGATCTATTGCATGATTATTATTTCCCTATTGGTCTTTTCTTTCTGCACCAAGTCCCACCAAATGCTCCAATCTTTTATTGTAAAATGTGGTTTCTTAGTGTCTTCCTTTGTTTCTTAATGACCTGTGTCCCTCACCGAGGTTTTTATGGTGACTAGTATCAAAAACTAGACATGATCCTTTAGTTTCAACACCTTCACTGACAGCAGCTGAACAGTCACTTTCCATCTTTTGATACAGAATAGTGGCAAGACCTTTGTCTTCCATGCTGCTCTTAGCTAATTCTTCTGTAAGGTGTGTTCATAAGTTTGGCGTTTTCTTCCTAAGTGCTTCACTTATCTGTTATTATTAAAAGTTATGTTGATCCCAGTACACAGAATTAGCTAGTGTTTCTCTTGTATAATACATCTTGTTCAGTAATTCCTTGATCATCTGTAGTAATTTATTCTTTAATTATCTTCCTCAAACATTTTTAGCATCTTGAAGTATGTTTTTTATTGTCTGCTTTACTGTGCAGCAATTGCATATTTCCTTTCTTAGTATATTGAAATATATGCACCAATTCCTGTGTGCAGTTCTCAAAAATGCCTTCCTTCTTCAGTGATTCCTTCCTGTTCAGTCAATTCCTTGAAGATTTATTTGAAATAGGTATATAATACAGACTAGGTAGCCCAAAAATTGTTTTATTTACTCTGTGGGTCTAAAAAGAAGCAGATGTCCTCCAAATTTACCTTCTCAAAGAGGCTTAAGATTCTTATCAGGAGAGATTA